GAAAGAACCTAAGACTTATCAGTCCCCATCCAGAATCTCACTGGAAAATGCTTTTTAAATTTATGGATCACACACAGTTTTCATAAAAATGCTTAATGTATACTGTAAACTTTTGAAAGAATCATCTAAATTAGAATGAAATAGCACTGAGTAAAAAGTGTAATAACAAAAGATAAAGCTTATAATTAGCTTATTCTGTCCTATGAATTTGGTGTTTATGGTTTCGAGGGTATTCTTTACTCATATTAGCTAGATTGCATTAAACGTTTTATCTTAGGCACTGTGAGTTTATTATACATCATTTACTCTTTTCCAAAATGTCTTTTTCATTTCCATGATAGTTAGTATTTACATTATTTGAAAGAAAGACGGAAGAATAATTAAATGGGGAGAGAGCATATTACCTCTACTCTATCTGAAACATATGGTAAAGTTTCTTAAAGTAAATTTAAATAATTTTACATTGCTACATGTTTGCCAATAGTAATAATGATACGAGACCAATACTATTGATAGTAAACGAGGGAAAGGGTTTATAAGCTGGAGATTTTGTTAACAAGTGTTAACCAAAAATAAATATTTACTACGGCAAACGTTTCACCTGTATTTGCTGTAATGGACTTGCTATTGCAACATCTTTATTTTATTAAATCCTATATAAGTTTAAATGTGCAATTTTAGCTCATTTTTGCTATCTTGCACCAAGTCTATCCCCCTCAGTGGCTCAACGGTAAATCTGAAGGCTTATGATGCTAAAAATCGGTTTTCAATGCTCATGGAGGGCACAGCGCAAATAAACCATTGTGTAGCTTTGTGCTTAACAACATACAAGCAAGTATCTTGCATCAGTTCTTAGTGTGAGCACTACTAGTCTTCATTATGTCGTTAACCATAACGAGATATGATCAATTTTTTAAATGATACAGTTCAAAGATTGTACTTTTTTCTTGTCATAAAATTATTGTTTATACTAAAATATCAAGACCCCTCTTTTGTCATATTCTGAAATGTGGTTAAAGATGTTATTTTGGGACTTAAATACATAGCATGCATAAGGTAATTAATTAATTTACAAACTTATGCTCATCTTTGGTGTGTATCAACCAATGAAATCACGACTTGCTTAGTAGAGCCAATTGCATGGTTAATATTAGAAAATGGATTATGGAATGAAATTAATACATCTATGTAGCTCTGTAGCTAATGATGTTTTTCCACATTCCTTAATGAGTGCTTTATAAAATTCACACTGAAATAACATTAGCAAGACATAATTTAATCATGCCAAAAGGATTTTGATGTGTAATATACCAAATAAAGTGTGGACTTGAAGAGAGAAGGTACATACCAGGACCATGTAATGGTGAACTAAGAAGAAAAGGATAATCTGGCTACAGATCATGCCTTATGTACCAAATGTCATTTATATTGCTATTATTTTAAATTCCATGTGCCTGATGATTACCCTTGAGATGACAGCGAAAATAACAGAAGTTATCCAAACTATTCTCCTCCTCCACATTCCACTTCTGGTGTATCCTTGAGCACACCAGATTAACAAGCCCTAAATATTTAAGACTGTACATCAAGTCATTTGGCAACAGACACGCCCAAAATATGCTCAGTTGACTATTATATCAATTGAAGCATGAACTCAAAGTATTTCTTATGCATGATATTGGTGTCCCTCCTGGAGCACAGTGTTGCAAAAGTCGCCTGGACAGAAATCACTTTGTATCTGCTTTATGACAGGTGATATATTCAATAATAAAAGACTATACCAGTTGTAACAAAATGGATGTGCTTAATCACTTGAAGAACATATGTGCAGCAATAAACTATCAGGTAAAATAGCCTATAATAGATATCACAAGCTTGCTGGTGGTAAATCTCTTAATCCAACTATGGTTAGCACACCGTCAGTTTTATGATTTGTCTTAGAAGATTACATCTTTAAAAATGCTAATATAAGAACTGTGCAAATATGTTTGGGGCTCTCCTCGTTAAAATCTGTAACGGGTTATCCAGCAGAATTGTATCTACCAATATAGGTTTGGAAAATACATTTGGCTCATTATGCTTTGGTGAAAAATTTTGTTTTTATCCATCTTCGATTCGGATATATCAGTGACCAAGAACTGATATCTAACCATATCTTTTCGTGCTTGCAATTCTAGGTTTAGATGGTATGTGTGTGTATATATACAGACAAAAGTGCCAAGCATAATATTTCAGTTGCTACTTGTCAAATCAATGAAGACTGTATCCATTGGTAAGAACATTGCATTGATTGTTGAACCATCTCTTGTTGATGAGTAAAGTAATGATGCAGCAAGTGCACACTACGTATTCCAAAATGATGTTGAAAACATTCACAACTGGATACAATCACATGACATAACTCTTTTGGATAAAGGATTTAACGATAGATTGAATCTCCATCACGGGCTGGGTGTGAAATCCTAGGTGGCATTTTTTCTACAAATGGGATGTAGCTTGCATCCTACAAAAGATTCAAATATATTAGGAGATAAAGTAGTCTGCAGACTGATACTTAGTATTTTTTAGATTTAGTCTAGCTATTTTTCAAGTAAGAGGTACTCTCTCTGTATTTACCATGAAGTCCGAGTGACCCATTTATACTAGTGTGGCATTGCTTGTATTGCACAAGAACAAGCGTAATATGGTATTGTGCACACATAGCATCTGTAACGCGATTCGTACGACTCAAACAACATGAGGAACACATATTCATAAGACCAGTTTCCATACCCAAAGGTGTTCATGAAAGTCATGAAAGTCATTGATGACTCTTCCGATGAATCAGAAAATGACTGAACATGTCATAAAAACTGTGGTGAGTTGTGGATAAAATTAAAAGACATTTTATTATAATTTCGTGTTTCTCAGCATCTGTGGGATATGATATGCACAATATATGTAAATACAGAAAACTGAATAGTAGTCAAAATTCTCAGTTGATAGACCCCTGTCCTTGTTAAGCTGTTCTTTTGTCTTTCTGGTTATTTATTGAACTGTATTGATTACAAAAGTGCAAAAAAATATAATTTTAAACATCCAAGAATCATTTTCTAATTTTTTGTCTGAGTGAGTAATCTGAATAAGTATCAATTTATAAAAATTGTATGTTGAACGTATTTATGTATACATACAGAAAATGTTTATGTTTTTGTTATTTGTAAAATCATTCACAATAGATTATATTTGTGCTGTGTCTAGTGTGGAGATCAAACCTTGAATTACAGTATTATAAGCCCTTAAGTTTATCTTGGAACCATTAGGAGCGTATAATGAAAGAGAAAGTAAAATACATTCAATGTGCCATTAAATATTTTTAATTAAAACAAAATCTCAGTTGTGGCATTTGAAAAAACTGTTAATTTCAACTTTCCATAAATAGTAAATAATAAATCTCCAGTAAGGTATATTCAAATAATTTGTTTTTCTAAACTTTCATGCAAGTGTTCTGCATTTACGTAGTTACATCTTTGTAAGCTGATGTAGGAAGGTCGTAAACTTGCTACACATCTAGATAAGACAGAGGTTACATATTACACAACGATTGTTCTACAGAGGTTTAGTATGTTGAATGAAAATGACTTTGAAGCCTCACCACGTCTGGTCGTGCTCTATCAATTGAACATGCATCCTGACATTAGCCCTGCAGCATAGTTGAACTTCAAAAGACTGTAGTTGAGGTATGTGACAAGTGAAAAAATATGCTGTGGACGCAACTTATGTAAACGTGCTTTGTGTTACTTTTCCAGATGGAGATCCTTCTTAATAATGTTGCATGGGACAATTAGATGGCTATTGCCACTGACATTTGTATTCGTGGATTCTCCCCTGTTACAAGACACTACACTTTTGCTTATCACGGCTCGGATATAATTTGTTGGAGGTTTATTTCCAAGTGGCCTTGGTTTCACATGTTGAGTCATATTTCTTTGTGTTCCAATATCATTAAATGCAAAGAATGTCCCCATGTTGCAAATTATAAATCCACGATCTGAATACATCGTTATGAACTGTGTGTATGAATACTTTGCATCGGAAAGGGTTGTCACATACCCTTATCAAAAGCATTCAATTGTTTGTGCATCACACTACCTACGAACGCCAAACAATGTTAAAATGAGGTTCTGATACATTGTGGTTTAACAAAAGTTTATGTCAGCTGTGCTTGTCATTTCACTTGTTGATTTACATATTCAAACCATTTTGATATAATATATTCAGTCCCTGGGTAAGGCATATACTTGCCTGGCCCTATTTCCGTGTCATGCCTTGCTCGATTGAGATCATATTTATTTCAAGGGGTGGTACAGAAACTTGTACAAGCCAGCATGAATTGGATTTACGTCCCTTTAATATGTACATTATGAATGATTGCTGAAGTAGGTAATATAGGATTGTGAGATATAGTAGGGTTTGGTCTGTCTTGAATTGTGATACGATGATTCTTTCGATTCCTCTATTAATCTTATATATATGCATGCTTCCAACCTACTCTAACAGCTAGTTACAGACAATATTGAATAAAGAAGCCTATCAGCATTAAATAAAATTCCAATAGTTATTCACTATATGAATAAAGATTTTTGTTTTATTTGTACACTTATATTTGTTTGTTTGTTTGTAGTTAATCACAAAGCTACACAATGGACTATCTGTACACTTACGTTAGCTTGTTGTTTTTTGTTTTTTTGTGTGTCATTATTAATTGTATTATCTCCATATTATTTCCAGAACAAGTTGTATTGCGGATAGATACAATTTTTAAAACAGATGTTATTTGCTTACAGTGTTTTAGTTTATTATTTTCAAAGAAATTTAATTTAAATACTAATCATAATTATTGTTAGTTTATATAATTAGGCATTCATTCAAGTCGGATATTTTATGAGATAAAATAGTTAAACCTTAACCAAACTCACAATGCACGTGAAAAACAGCGAAATGCCAAGAGTATTGTTTCTATGGAAGATGCTACAACTTTCCTCTCCAACCCGGATACTCCAAACGAAGAACCCAAGAAATTTGCTTATGACTTTAGTTATTGGTCACACGACGGCTACATAGAACAAGACAATGGCTATTGCACTGCAGACGATAGTCATCCAAACGGTAGAAAATTTGCTGACCAAGTGAGTGTTACTTTTTTTTTCTTTTTAAGCTTAGTTATTATATCAGTCTTAATCGTCATTTCAGTAGATTTCACTTTAAAAGTCTATATTATAAATCTTTCATTTTTATTAAATAAGAGAATTTTTTTTTCAATTCGTATTACAATCTGTAGGATCGCCTTATATATATATATAAATTTTTATTTATTTTTCTGTTACGTGGTCCAGCAATAAAAGGGTCCGACCTGGAATTAGCGTCCACCAAATGTTTTTTTTTTTATGGTTTTCATTCAATTCGGATTTGCTGATTAATCTGGATGTTACCTCTTCGGCATCCTTGAGTGTTTGAGATATTCAAGATGGCGGCCAAGATGGTTCCCGAAACATATATTTGCCCATATCTTAGTTTCTATGAGAGATAACACAACAAACTTTGTTTGTATGTCTGGGCTTTCTATGTCCCTGATTTCAGCCTTACATTGTTTCATTACTTATGGATCAATTCTTAATCCAATATGGCGGCCACAATGGTAGAAACAACAGACTATATCGCTGCTTAAAATCGACATATCACTTTGATTTTGGTGCCTGTTCTGAGGTTTTCAGGGGTGATGAGTTCATTTAGTGATATTGATATACAATTAAGGTGGATTTAAAGCCAATGTGTTATATAGCTTTACATACACTTGTACCTGGCGTGATCTCATTTTATACTTATGTTATAGGGATCTGATGTTGAATATTACTCTTAAGCATTTC